CTATCTTGGTTTGAATTAAGAGTATACACCATGCTTTAATTCGAATTGAACTATGAATAGGAAGAGTATGTATGGACATTCGACAACAGGGATTAGATACATACTTGGTTGTTTAAAATGTTCTTCTATGCTTAATGGGTTCCTAATGCTTAATTTTAGGTTAGACAACAAATGATCAAATTAGGGAATTAGGAACACAAGGTTATGACCACACACCATGGCTTAATCATACTTTAGCTAGAATCAATCCATTAATCTAATTAAACTTGGGAACTTATCTGCTTGAGTTAGTTATTTCTTTCTTCCTTGTTTTATTTATTTCCTTTTTTTTTCATTTCTGTTTTGTGTAGGGAAACTAAATTGGATCATTCAATCACCAATCCCTGTGGAATCGACCTCGCACTTACATACGCTAAACTATTAACGGTTCGTGCACTTGCGAGTATCACAAGTTGAGGATGCAGCTTAATCCATTTTGGTGCAGCTGTATCTACACAACAGGAACCAATTACAGTCAATGAGTTTTTGAAGGACAAAGTTACTACACATAAACAAAAGGATGGCTGCAATGATGTATGCAAAACGAGATGAATGGGCGAAATCACGCCTTAGACCCAAGTTTTTCAGTGGTATGTGTGCTACTCAACGCGTGGAGTGTATGAATAAGTTTGTAAAAGATTACTTGAGGAAAGGCATTAAGTTGTTTGAATGCATACCACCGAAAAGAGTCAAAGAAAGTGCTTACAACAACACTGAAAAGTCTTGAGCAACATGCTTCCCAAATTTACACACATAGGTGTTTTTTATTGGTATGTAACGAGATCAATGTTTCGTCAGCACTCATTCATGAAAAAATCATTTATAATTTCGGAGGACGGTTGTATATTTTAGCGAAATACGGTAAACCACAAAATAATTGGAGTTGTATGTACCTTGGCGGGAAAGATGCTCGAATAGAGTGCAATTGTCAGAAATATGAAAGCGAAGGCATCCCATGTTGCCATTTGTTTTATGTGATGAAGTGGGAGTATGTTATGAAAATTCCCTCGTCACTCATAATGAAGTGATGGACAAAAACTGCCCGAATGGACGTTGGATATGCATTTATGTTAGAAAGTGGTAGCAAAGAGGTTATACAAACCGCGAGATGCAAAAGTTTAAGTTGTATTGCTAACAAAGTGTGTTTGTATACATCAAAGAGCACAGATGGGTATGGTATTATTCATAAATTTTTCTTATTAAAATAAATTAATGTTCAAAGGGCTTACGCCTTGCATAACGCAACTAAAACATCTCGCATCAACGCCTCACCTTTCAAATCATTGGTCCAAAGTAGCAGACGGCCCAAAGCCACATTACAACTGATGAGCCCAAGACAGGTGGACGAAACCATGACACAAAACTCCTTACAAAATAACAAAAAAACTCATGGTGTGTTTGGATTACTTCTGAAAAGGTTAAAAACGCTTGTATAGTGTTTGGGAGAAAAACTTTAAAAAGTGTTTATGGGTCATAAAGTGCTTTCTGGAGAAGCACTTAGTGCTGGTTTGGGGTTGCTTAACTTAAAAAATAAGCAGCTTTAAAAAAAAGTTTTGGAGATTTGGGTGTTTGGTAAAACAAAAATAAGTTGCTTATTTAATAAGTTGCTGTCATTCAAAGCTGAAAAACAGAAGCAGGTGGGGAGCTGCTTCTGAAAACTGCTGCGAGGAGAAGCATGCGGAGGTTTAAATGAAAATTTCAAATTGCCCATATTGCCCTTATTTGTTTCACACAATTACATGCTATATCCTCATCATCCCGAGTTCGAACCTCCCAAGTGTCGTTCCTTTTTGATTTTCTGGATTGCT